CTCGCCTTCGCTTCCCAGGATGGAGACGTCCATGTGGTGAGACTCAGCATCGCTGGCTCCGTCCAACGGGCCCATGTCGGGAACCTTATGGAGGATGGAACGCTGGTCGACTTCACCGGAAACGGTCGGTGGTGGGTGGGCTTGTTCGCAGGCGTTCCCGGCCGGTCCTGGCGCGTCTGGGACGCCGCCACCGAGCAGCTGGTCTACGTGGGTGGCACCTTGACGGACCCCGACGCAGTCTTGGGATGGCACATGCTCATTGACTTGTCCAGTCCGTTGGTCGGCCGCGTGAGGATCGTGGAGCCAGGGTTTGCGGTCGGATTCACCGATTCAAGCATGGAGGTCGTGGATCTCAATGACACTGGAGCAATGGTAATCCGGCTTGAGCTCCCGCACGGCGCAGTCGTGGACTCAGTGGACGCATGCGAGGACCGGGTGATCGTAGTGGACTCGCGGGGCCTGGCCATGGTGCACTGGGTGCCTGCACTGCAGGAGATATGCAGGTTTAGCACGTTGAGGAGGGCGGAGGACCAGCATGAGCTGGGGGAGATGAGCGTGTGCATGAACAGGAATTATGCAGTGGTGCGCTCTGCCGATCGAATCCGGATGTGGGATGCGACGACCGGCGAGTACTTGTACAGCTTCAGGGAGCGGATAGGAGAGGCGCTCGTGGTGGCTGCCAGTGATCGCTACGTCGCCGCTTGGGCCACCGATACCGGGTTGCACCTGTGGGATTTTGGAGACATGTAAGTAGAAGAGAACAAGCGGTCGAGTGTCTACAGAAGTAGATAGAACTGGCTGTCGGTGATGGTTATGTTGTTTGCTTGGGATTGAGAGACCAGATGATATGAATGCATGATTGATTATTTCGCATATAAACAAGAAGAAGTTGCTGACGGATGCACGAGTGCAGGCGGAGGGTTAGCATTCGGAAGAAAAAACAGGGAAGGGGAAGCGAAGAAGGTTTGGTTTTATGTCATCGATGATTAGGGTTTTATGTCATCGATGATTAGGGTTTGGTTTTATGTAATCTTGATGATATCGGAACAAGGCCGCATCTCCCGTTGCTCTTAGGTTCACATTGGATATGGATAAAAACATAAATTAAAGGTATATTATTATTATTATCTTATGGTAAAGCATTTTTGAACTAATGATTTAGAATTTTTATCAAGTAAAATAGAACATAAATTAAAGAGTTTTTATTAAGTATTTTGAGTAAAGTATTACGGCAAAAGACACTTTCCCTCTCTATATCTTCACCTTAATCTTTTGTAATTATAATAGAATAATCAAACACACATGGACTACAACTTCTGAATGATATGATCCAGTTTACATCTCTCGGGAGCAGTGATGTATCAACAGTAGCAATGACAGTAATGTAATCCGGCGCGAACATTGCATTCTCCTCCCCTGCAGTCTGACATGCACCAAGCGTTGCAGGCGTCGTTGTCAGCGGCTCCCAAGCAATGCTCGGTACCATTCCATTTATGGTGATCCTTACAGCATAGATCCTGCGCAGTAGAATAATCTTGCATCCAATGCAAAAACCACATCAGTGTCTGCAAGTCTTGTATTCAATGTAACAAGGCAAAAAAATACAGACTCAAAAGAATAACATCTTACTGGAAGCAGCGATCAGCAAACATAGGATGAGAAAGGAAGCCACTCCAGCACGAGACATGGTTGATTGTATGATGGTAATAATAATACGTTGCTTTGACTTAACTCACTCCGAAAGAGATTATTTTGATGGTATTATGCTGTCTCGTTGGGTGCCATCTTATTTATGTTTCGTTTTGAGACTATTTACGTGAGGAAAATATTCAAACTGAATCCGTTTCGTATCTTCTTATTCCTTTGGTTATTTTGCATCTTCCCAATAAGAAAATTTGTGAATCCAATCGGGAGAAGAACTTGTTATTTCTATAAAATCATCATGGAAAGTTTTTATTTATTCGTAAACATGGTAAAAAAAAAAAAAGCGACTAGATTCCATTTGAGGACTTTCCTTTTTGAAACAATTATTCCTTTCGGCTGTAATTTCATTTGTTCCTCGATGACAAGCTTTTTGGGTTGGAAATTCATATTCCATGTAAGTTTGTATCACACTTAAGGTTAGCAAATTTTGAAAAATAATAATGTAAAATTCAGAGAGCTTTAGGTAAATTAAGATACATGAGTCATATCCACGTCTTTGGTAATCATCATGAAATCTGCGAGAATAATTTTGTGAGATTATCGAATATTATTTGGATGTGAGAAGTCGCTTTAATCATCGAACATTATGATCGGCTATGTTATGCTAATCACATCGGTCATCACTCCTATGTGTTGGGTTGACGAGGCATCTGAGTAGGTGTCGAGCTAGTGGTGATATATCGTTCATCTAAGTCTAACATGAATGATACTTGTGTTCAAATTCGATATTGTCGAAGATAATGGACACTACATAATTGGATTCTAACTATATCGGGATATGAGATGTTTTATGGTCAGATTTGATTGTGTTGGATATACATGACACTTTATGATTAGATTCAATTACATTAGAGGTTAAAGATGATTCATGACTAGATTCGATCGCATCGAAGGATGGAGGATACATGTCTCACCAATTAGGCTATGTCACCTCACCAAGCAGCTAGCTGATGTGCTACTAGTCGGCCATGCCAATGTGCTGTATTCCGTTTGTCAAATGATAAGATATATTTTGGGTTCAAGACACGTCACAACCGATGCCATGCCACGCTACAACTGAATCAGCAATGGGAACACCCCCACGCGCCGATTCACATTTTACTTGAATGCTAATCTTTGCTTCGTCTCATTGAAGCATTTAGGCTTGGGCTATTTTATAGAGAGATTTGGTAACCATCGAGATTAAGTAGAGTTAATCCACAATAATAAATTTTCAAAACCAAATCTTCCATTCCATTGGGCATTACGATTGGCATCGCTGTGTTTGACTTACGAGGTGTTCAAACAAGTGTCAGGCTAAACGATCACATTATCGTATATCAGAAACTTGGGTTTAGGCCTTTGCGATTAATGGTTAAGTCTCCGTTTATATTCTCATCAAACCCTTAATCGGGAAAGATTTGTCTGTAAAGATTTAATGAATAATAATATGTTTTAATATTTTTCATAATAAGTTAATGGGTCAGTTATTATATCAAGTGAGATGATGTTATTTACCTTTAATCTTATTGTCCTATTTAATTCCTCAACTTATTCTTTTGAAATTAGAATAGATGAAGTATCAACTATTTGTTCAAATAAGAATCATGTCATTTGTTTCCTAAAATACTTCTTTCTTTTTAAATTCAAGATCGAAGTTTGGGTACATGGACTATCTCATACTTGTTCATGCCGTGATGCACTAATAGTAGTATTATAGCGGATCTGAAGTGGCTGATATATTAGCATCACATATAGCAAGCGTGTCATCATCTTAGTCACTCACTAGTATCATGCACTAACTAGCAATGATCTTATTTCTATGTAAACGCATCATCGATTGACATATGTTGAATCATAAATTTTTGTTAATAGTATAACTAATTGATAAACGATTTAGTATTTGATGAACGGATGGTGCAATGGCCGACAATCAAGTGGACATAGATTGTTAATGGACCATTGGCTAGGGATAGTAGCTTCTCTGTAAGAAATATTTATGCAAAGGAGTCACAATTAAAAAGGTTATGCTTGAAAGCCTATTGTATTTAAAAAAGTAGAAATCGAGCAGCTCCATTAAAGCACAATGATGTATGAGTCAAAATGGATTGTAATAGAGAGCTCGGCAAATATATTATACTACGATGCCTTCCTAAAATTAGTGTGTTGAGAAAGAATTTTAGTTTGTGATTCACAAGTGTCCTCGAGGGATGACGTTGAGATTCCCATGACTATATGATGGATAATTCAGAGTACTAAATATAATGGGGAGATGATGATGCGCTGATGATAGGTAGCGAAGGGAAGAAGTATGTGGTTGTCGTGGCACGTGTGTCGCATAGCCACGATATGAAAAGTTGAGCTATTTATCATTCACACCCTGTCGTGATTAAATTATCGAAGGATAATTTATTTATTTTATCACTTACTGGTTTTTATGGAATGATATCTTTCTATTTAAAATTTAATCAAGTACACCTTGCAATAAATAAATAAATAAATGTCATTGTTCTTTCAAGTTTGTTGGGTGAGTTATGTCAAATGGAATGAGTAAATTGGATCAGGATATTTCATTTGTCGATTTGTGGCTCATTTATTCTCGCTTATTTATTATTATTCTTCTTTTTTATAATTATATATATTTTTTTCTATCATCGTCTTTTGTTTTCTTTTTTTCTTTTCCGATCGAGGAGTAAAAAGAGGAAGATGAAGATGGATACGATGGAAGGAGGAAACGAAGAAGAAAATATATGAAGAAGAAAAGTACAATATGAGGAGGAGGAGGAAAGGGAGTAAGAAGAAAAAAAAAGCCCGACTGACTTTTACGTTAAATTCAACCGAATTATTAATGATTCAAATTTTTTTTTTAAAAATGATGGATGTAGGAGGGTAAAATGAATATATATTTTTTAAAAAAGTAATTTTTTGAGGATAAAATGCCAATTAATGAGCCTATAAGTCTCAATCTTGATGCTATCGGAACAAGGCCGCGTGTGTCGTTGCTTTTACGTTCACATCGGATATCGATAAAAACATAAATTAAAAGTATACATTTATTACCTTATAATTAAGCATTTTGAGCTAATGGTTTAGAGTTTTTATTAAGTTAAGGAGAACATAAATTAAAGAGTTTTTATTAAGTATTTTGAGCAAAGCATTATGGCAAAAGACACGTCAAACTCTTTTTCCCTCTCTAAAATTCAACCACGATAATTTATTCCTTGTTTTTATTCATAATAATCAAACACACATGAATCATAACTTGTGAATCATATGATCTTATATAAGTAGCAATTTAGTGCATTGTTTTAGACTTGTTAGAAGTTGACGTTGGAGTAGTACGTGGCCCCTGGTCTCCAACCCGCGGGGATGACGTTGGTGGCAACGATGGTCTTGCTCGACACGGCGGAGGTCAGCCGGATCGAAGCTGGACCAGGCACTGGCGCGTTCAGCTTCCAAAGGGCGCCCCACGAATTCTGCATGGGCGTCCACGAGCTCCCCTGCCCCACTTCGACGGCCGAGATCTCGCCGTCCCCATTTACGAACTCGGGGAGCACGGCCAAGTAGTTTGAGTTGGATCCGTCGTCCACCCTGAAGGCGACGTGAAAGCCCGGGTAGCTGCAGGGCACTCTACGAAGCCACAGGAGAGTATGTTAGGATAAGGGTGTTCGAGTGGCAGTTGAGTTCCGGGTTGGGGTTGTCACCTGGCGTATTGTATTTGAATGGAGCCCACGCTGCGAAGCGCATCGGCTTGGCCAGGCTTCGCCATGGCCCCGAAGGCAGCCCCGCTGAGGTCAAAATGGACGGAGTCGGAAGCACACGGGCCGCCGGGGCACTGGTCCGTGATGACCACGGTCACCGGACTCCCGGAGCATGCAGGGTTCGCCGTGCACGCAACCTGATCCGATCAGTTCCATCATCAATCTGTCTCCCAGCATTATCTACGTTGCAAATGAGACAATCTAGCTAGCTGGCTAAGGCGTGTATACCTGATAGCAAGCACCACATCCCTTGCCTGATTTGTACAGCGAAGTACCACCTGCTGATATCTTGGAATCGAACGGAGCCTTGGCAACCCCATCACCATATCCGCATGCGCCACCTGTATATATTATACACATACATGCTGATCCACTATTTCACGTATGCTCTCATGCATACTTCAGAACGTAACGCAGGAACATTGTAGACATTACCAGTACTTCCAGGGCCTTCGGCGGCCCCGTACCAGGTGGCTACAGCCGGCGACATGGCCAAGTCAGTGTCGGACGAGTTCATGCGGTTGTAGCAAGCGCAGGGGCGGAGCAGGGAAAGGAAACCAACGAAAACAAGAAGAGAAGAGAGACGACGAAAGGAGGAGGCCATGGCTGCAAAGACTTCCATTGCCTGAATCTAACTTTTCCTACGGTGTCTTATAAAGAGACTATTTTGATGGTATTATGCTGTCTCGTTGGTGCCATCCTATTTATATTTAACTTTGAGAATATTTACACAAGGAAAATATTCAAACTGAATCCGTTTGGTATTGCTTATTGCTTTGGTTATTTTGTCTCAAAATTTGTGAATCCAGTAGGTAGACGAATTTGATATTTCTATAAAATCATGATTTGGAAATTTTTATTTATTTATTTGAAAACACGGTAAAAAATAAAAGCGACTGTCTTTCATTTGAGGACTTTCCTTTTGAAGCATTTCTTCCTTTTCCTATCGATTGGGATTTCATTTCTTTCTCTACGACAAACTAATAATAAAATTACTAATAAAAGCATTTCTTCCGCTATTTGAGACAAAAATTCATATTCCAAAAGTAAGCTTGTCTCACGCTTAGGTTAGTAATTTTTTTAAAAAAAATTAATAAAAAATTCAGAGAATTTAGAGAACTCTACGTAAATTAAAATACTTGAGTCCTATCAATGACTTTGGTAATTGTCATGAAATCTACGAGAATAGTTTCATAGGATTATCGAATATTACCTTGATAGGAGAAGTCGCTTAAATCATCGAACATTACGATTGGCCACATTATGCTAACCACTGCTTGTACATCATTCATCTAGGTCTAACATGAAGGACACTTTATGTTCAAATTCGATCTCATCACAGATAATGGATACTTCATGATTGGATTAAACTAATAGCAACTAAGATTTCCCGTGAGAAAATATTGTTGCTCAGTCGAGGAAAATCGTTTCTCCTAATGTGTATAAATAGGGAGCACCATATTAAACACAAAGATATCTTCTTCATTTCATTCTTAACATGATATCAGAGCCACTCTTGCCTTAGCAAGATTTCCTCGGCGACAGCAACTCTGATCTTGCAGCGATCACTACTGTTACGACACCCTCTCTCTTTCTCACTGTCTAACGTCACCTCACTACCAGTTTTCTCCTCCCTACATCGGGCGTTGAACAATCATCATAAGTTTGCACGTTAACTTGATGGAAACTTACCTTCGCGCCCAGCACCCGGTGAGTAGCTATTTGTGTACTTGCAACTGTTCGTTTTACCTTCTAAAATCATTGTTTTTTCCTTTCTCTCTTGCACTCATGGTACTCGTTAAATTGCTTATAAAGCTTCCCTCTTCACGAGACGTCGGTACTTGTTCTGTTGGGAAATCTTAGGGGCGACATCACATGTGCAACGGAAGAATAAAAAAATAAAATATTCAATTTTCTAAAAAGATGTTCGTCGTCATGTGAAAATTGGTGCACAAAAATCCATGAAACAAACTACATATAGAATAGATTGTGTTACCTAGGGAGATCGTATATCTATGTTTCCTTACAGATCTCTAGGAGAGGGTGAAGGAGGTCAAACGCTCTCCTCTCTAGCGGTGATCCACACTACAGGGTTATGACGACGCTTCTCAAAACTCCAGGTCTGCTCTGAGGTGGAGAGGGGGAGGAGAATAGGAGAGACAAGTAAAGGCTCTAACCTATGAACCACTAAATCCCTCATATTTATAGAGGTCCCCTGTCAAACCCTAACGGATCCTCCCCTATTTGGTATTTGATCTGCATCCAACTACCCAAGCCTCTTAGATTAGTGGATCTCTATCCAGTAATCTCTTATGAGCTCTTATTGGATCTCATCCATAGGATCCAATAATTCATGAGCTTATTGGATATCCAATAAGTCAAGGGCTCTGGTAGATATCTCATATCCAAATCTCTACTCATCGTAAACCTACCATATGTGCGTGACCTTTTAGGCCCAATATCGAGCTGACCGTGAGTCATACCTATTAGAATTCCTTCTGGCTCAATGAATTATTATCTTCATAATAATTAACTCGACTCATCGACTACGGACGTATTAGGCCACTACGCCGTAGTCCCCAAAAGATACAGGAGAATCCAACCCATTGGACCTATTTATCCTTAGTTATCATGTACCTATAGTCCCTTATCTATCTAATATCCCAGAGACCATATACCGGGTATGGTGTTATCAAACCCACATGGTTTCTAGTCGAGTCTCGCTTGAATCAGATTATCTCGGAGAACTGTTTCTCTCTCAATCCGAATGACCATGGCAAGGGATTTGTCTGAGCAAGAACACATGTGATATTTCTCTCATAACACCGAGAGTGGATGATCCTCTATCGATACTCAATAGCCATCGTAAGGTCAACTACCACTCCCAATGATCGGTTGTACTAGATTTGGGACATCCAAACCTATAAGTTCGGTATCAAAGAATGGAGCACTCATATAGGACATCCTTGGTGTCTCAAGTCCAAGGACCAGATACACCACTGGGACTACGAAATCGCTGTCTTACAATAAGACTTCATCAACTATGCAGCATTCTGTAAGCGGATCAATCAATGAACTCATTCTTCACTGAGAACATGTATTGTATCCCTAGTGTCCCCACACGAGCAGCTATGAGATTAGCTGCATTCATCATATAAACAGGTATACAGCACACCAGTCTGTCCGGTTATCTTGATGTCCCTCTCGAATTACCTATGACCGAGATTATTTAGGATATGTATTTAAAGATGAATCGATCTCATTATCGTGATCTCATCACGATCCAATTCCCATTGCACAGATCCAAGGACATCATAATATATACATACATATATGTAATAACCAATATAAAGTGATAAATACCAAAATATAATAATAAAAAGATTCTGTGTCAAGTCACACGTGCCATCACTCACGTGATTGGCTTGCTGGACACCTATGACTAGCAATCTCCCACTTGACTTAAAGCCAATCACTTATGTGTTTGATCCCTATCAGACCCCTGTGACGCTCAATGGCAATTTGAAACAACGACTTTGTGAGTGGATCTGCAATGTTATCTTCGAATTGAACTCTTTCCACTACTACATCTCCTCATGTCATGATCTCTCTAATAAGTTGGAATCTCCTTAGAACACTTCTGATGAGACTCGGGTTCCCTTATTTGAGTAATCGCCCCATGGTAGTCGCAATATAAGGAATCAACTCATCGCTAGTTGGCTCGACTCCTATATCTGTGATGAACTTCTTCATCCATACTCCCTCCTTTACTGCATCTGCTACAGCAATGTACTCTGCCTCTGTGGTCGAGTCAGCAATAATATCTTGCTTGAAACTCTTCTAGCATACTGCTCCTCCATTCAAGGTGTACACATACCCCGAATTCGACTTGCTATCATCGATATCAGACTGAAAGCTTGAGTCTGTGTAGCCTTCAACCCTGAGGCTACTACCTCCATATACTAGTAAAAGATTCTTAGTTTTTCTCAAGTACTTAAGGATACACTTTACTGCTTTCCAGTGCTCCAAGCCTGGATCCGCTTGATACCTATTCGTGATACTCAGAGCATGCGCTATATCAAGCATAGTATATAGCATAACATATATGATTGACCCTATCGTTGTGGCATAAGGTATCATATCCATATTCGCCCTTTCTTCAGGAGTCTTTGGGGACATACTCCTAGAAAGCAATCCCATGTCTCATCAGTATGAGACCTCACTTGGAATTTTTCATGCCAAATCTTTTGACAATAGTTTCTATATACCTGGACTAGGATAAGCCAAGCATCCTCTTGGATCTATCTCTCTAGATCCGAATCCCCAAGATATAGGATGCTTCTCTTAAGTCCTTCATGGAGAAGTATCTAGATAACCAAGCCTTTATTGTGGATAGCATTCCTACATCATTCTTAATGATCAGGATGTCATCCACATATAACACCAAAAAGATGACAGCGCTCCCACTTACCTTCCTGTACATACAAGGCTCATCTTCGTTCTTAACAAAGTCATAAGATCTTATTGCCTCATCAAATCTTATGTTCCAACTTTGAGAAGCTTGCTTTAGTCCATAAATGGATCTAAGTAACCTGCACACCTTATCTGGGCAATCGTTGGACACGAATCCCTCGGGTTATATCATATACACCTCATCCTCAAGGTTCCCATTGAAGAATGTGATTTTCACATCCATCTATCAGATCTCATAATCATAGTATGCTACAATAGGCAATAGAATTCAGATGGATTTTAGCATTACTACGGGTGAGAAGGTTTCATCATAGTCAATACTTTGCCTTTGATGATACCCCTTAGCCACTAGCCTTGCTTTATAGGTCTCTACCTATCCATCTACTCCGATCTTTTTCTTAAAGATCTACATGTAACCGATGGGTACAATACCTTCGGTCGCATCAACTAGGTTCCAAACCTTGTTGGAGTATATAAAATTCATCTCAGAATCCATGGCTTTTTGCCACTTCCCGAAGTCTATACTCATAATAGCCTTCTCGTAGGTCTAAGGATCAATATTCTCAACATCCTCTCCTCTAATATGTCCCACATATCTCTCAGGAGGATGAGATACTTTATCGAAGTTATGTAAAGTTGGAACTTGTGTATTAGGTACTTGAACAGACTCAGGCTGTAGAGTGGTACTTGAGCTAGGTTCTCCAACCTCGCTCAACTCTTATCATGCTCTTACTGTCTCCGCCAAGAATATGTTCCGTCTCAAGGAACACTGCTCTCTTGGCTATAAAGACCTTTTGGCCCTCGAGATGATAGAAATAATACCTATAATTTTCCTTAGGGTATCCCACGAACTTGCACCGCTCTATCATCGATTCCAATTTATTGGGGTTGTGTCTTTTAACGTGGATAGGGCAGCCCTAAATTTTAATAACCTTAAGATCGGGTTTCTTCCCTTTCCATATCTCATATGATGTAGACACTACTGACTTAGTTGGAACTCTGTTCAGAAGGTAAGCTACGGTCTCTAGGGCATATCCCCGGAATGAGATGGGTAGATCAGTGAGACTCATCATGGACCGTACCATGTCTAACAGTATATGATTTCTCCTTTCAGACACACCATTGAGCTGAGGTGTATAAGGAGGTGTC